TTGCTTGGTTAGACTCAGAGTAGTGTGAAACAGAACCACAGCAGCTGAAAATGTAGCAAATATTGCATTTATGGTCTATCAGTGATAAAAACAACCTGAGTCCCTCTAACACCAACACTGCAGCGAATTAACCGTCGTATTCAGACATGTTTAAGTTGCTCCAAATATCTCAGGAAGTCGTGTTTATCTTTGGCTCTATGTTCGGGCTTGTTGGCAGCTCCATCAGTGCCGGGCTAAAACAACCCGACGTCGTTCTGTTCCTGATTCGTTTTCAGATTCCCATCAGCTTGGATCCCGTTGTTTCACAGTCGGCTGCTTTATGTTTTTAAGCAGACACCAGAAAGACGCCCTCAGGAGTTTCTGCTGTTTGCTGAGACTTCCTCCTTCCTATAAATCTTTTATGTCTCACTGATTTTTATGTTTATGTACTGATTGGATACGGAGGGACTTTAATGGGGGAGTTTTATTTTATTTTATGGTACGCGCAGCGTGGTGGGAGTGCAAGAATGTGGTTGTGTTTATTCTAAATTCATCCCCCTCCATAGTTATTAGCAGATCTAATAAAGATGTGAACAAACGTCTTGAAATTTGCCAATAAGACACTTTTCCCTGTAACAGTAACCACTGGAGATTTCTGTACCTCCTTACTGTATGTGACGCCATCTTGGCTTCTCATCCAAACTCGCTTGTTTTAAAGGTTTTCTTGACTGTAAATATGGGTAAAGTTAAGTAAGAAGCTACTTTCCTGTTGCTAATTTGTACTGCCTATAGATTATAGTTTATAGACTCTAGGACCAACTGTTTTCATCGGATGCAGCCGTCTTCTGTTTGACCTTTGACTCCAAGACATTTACCGTTTGCTTCCTCTGTTTTCAGCCAGGTTACTCTGACCAGAAACAGAGTCATCTGTAAACCAGAAACAGGCAGAAATGTTTGGCAGCTAGTATCAAAAACATTTAAGTACTTTTTTTGTTTTGTTTTTCTTTTTGCTCTATTTTTATTTTACTTATTTTTGACAACTGAGCCAAACTGCAGGGAGTGACAGTGACGATAAAACCATAAAATTACCAGAATTAACAGAGGCAGTTAATAAGTCACAATATTGATTTAAAATGGGGTGAAATTAGTTATATTGGTGCTAAAATCTTCCTAGATTGTTGGGTTGCAGGTTTATTAGCCAGGATTAACTAGCGTGTTGCTAACTTTTAAGTTTGCTAGTTAGCTGTCCAGGGTAGTAGCTTTTCAGGAAGCTAGTAAGCTAGCTAAGTTTTCATCAACACATTGGATATGTTGCTGAATTGCTGTAAGAAGCTGTAATTAGCTAGCTAGTTTACTTTTAAGATATTTAGCAAGTGAGGATCATAGTTACTACTAGCTACAATTGTCTGCTAGCTGCTAAGCTAGCACAGTTCTCTGCAGGCTAACTGTCCTGACAGTTTATCTGTTTTCTCTTTTATTACTTTCTTATCTATTCACATTCCAAGCCCAGAGTTAATTTTCATAATATTATTTCCTTAAAACTTTATATTTATTCGTGTTTAAGCTGATTGTGATTGTCATGCAGATTTTTTTTTCAGAAAAACATTAAATAAAATCAAGAGTTATGATGTAAAAATACGAAATGTGTTATTTCTTAGGAAACTCTGTAGCAGTTTGTCTTATTCTCCTTTGTCTGTCTGACTTTTTTTCAAAAGTAATGCTTTATAAAGTGATAAAGAACAAAAATTAGCTTTGCCCCAGTTTGTAATGAGAGAAAAACAAATGTAAATGCTCCATATTAAGCCCAATTAACTGCACCATTAACTATTATGTCTGTTCATTTTGCTATAAACAACATTCAACAAAGAATCGAGCGGAAACACTTGAGGTGTACGTTGTTCCATCTTTATGACTCACTCCATGAATGAATTAGCATCTAAACTGCAGGGATTTTACAGCCTTTCCCTCAGTGAGTCCAGGTTCTGCCGCTCTGCTGGGCTGGCATCGATTCCTGTGATCCATCATCAGAGTCACCTCCGCCTCACGCTTCTCCACAGGCTGTCGCTAATTAGGAGAAGCACAGAGACGTGACGTAGCTCTGGAGTTATAAAGTAACATCCAGACGCCCAACGTGAAGCAGAAACGCTTCGGGTTTAATTCACTGCTTAAAAAATAAAGTTCTCAGAAAATCTCAGGTTTTCTTTATGTTTATGCTGAAATGTTAATCAGCGGAGCGACTTTGTCTGGATCGGCCCCACCGGACGGTTCTGGGAACTAATTTCTCATAATCTTTGGGGTTTCCAGTTGAAGTATAAGGACCACTTCCTGGAATATTTGGTAAATTTCAAACATGTTCTTTGTTTTGGTGTCCAAATAAGTGGAAGTTGGACTTATTTTTATCTGACCTTTACATCATTGACGTGAGATGTGTCGTAATCCTGCAGCAGAAGAAGACAGAGGCGTTAAATCCAGACATAAACAAAGGCTAACAATTAAAATTACTGTAAACCAACAACAAGACGTTTCACTGACCTGATGAGAAATGGCTCGTGTGTTTTTATCAGACAAGAGAAATCCCAGAAAAGCAAAAATTTGATGCTACTCCATTTTATTTACGTCATGAAAAAGGATTTTGTTGTTTCCACGTTGTTTCCTTCAGAGGTTTTTGGTGCAGCGCCCCCACAGGCGAAGAGGGGAAATGAAAATGAATCAAATATTTACATTTTGTGGCCAGCATTAGATTTTACTTTTATATTAGAAGATTTTTTCATGTAATTGCTTTGGTAAAAACCCCAAACTTTGGTGATCATTATTGGTTTGTAAAAGCAATAAAAAGGATAAAACATTCAAGCTGATCAATATGTTGTTTAGAAACTGTATTACCAACAATTTTACAGATAATTTAGTTAATTTTTCAGTTCATATTGAAGATGGGAACTGATTTTCACCCCGGCCCGTTCCGACATATCTCACATTTCAGTGTCAGCAGCCTTCAGTCTCAGTGATTCTAAGCAGCGCCGGCTCCGCGGGTCACGGACTTTACTTACCTACACGTCACTGTGAAAACATGGACGCCATGCAGAACCCCCGTTCAAGACCCCAAGGTGTGCGTTTCTCCACATTTACTCAGGCTCAGGTTTTTCTGTGACTTTGTGTATTTGTCTTTTCTGAGGTCACGTATACAAAGGAGCTGAACTGGTTGCCACACACAGACCCAGAGCAGATCGAACAGGGAAACGTCGGACCTCCCACGTCTCTCCAAGAGAGCCGACCTGTCATCATGCGTCTTCCTCACACCCCGACTCCTATTTCACCATCATTTGTGTGTTTTTCAACACTTTTTCAAATCTTTTTATTACTCCTTCTTCTGAAGCTGAGCGTCCGGAAGCCGTTTGGAGGAATACATACGGCTCCTCTGGGAGAAACCTTAACATTTCCTCTTGTGTGAGAACAGGATTTGTGCGAGAAAAAGGGAAATTGGCGGCTCTTCGGTTGGTTTCTGATGCATCGTTTATTTCAATAACACCGGCCTACATGTGCGCTTCTTTCTGGAAGCCAGCAGAGCGGAGCTTTTAGTCTGTTAAGTGACTGTAACCGCCTCCAGCTGGGCTGCAGAGAGCCGAACAGTCGCACAGCGGATGGAGAAGTGGAGGGAAAATGATAAATGCTCCTTCAAATCAGAAACAGGCAGGAAAAAAAACACTTTTTCAAAGCAATATCTTCCAGTACATGTGTACAGACACACTCTGTAGAAAAGGCCTAAAGGGAAGGGAAAATCATGGCAAATATTGATGGAAAGTTGAGTGGAAGGAAAAAAATTGGTAGAAAAAAGTGAAAAAGAAAGCAAAGCAGGATTATGAATCAAAGCCTAAGATTTTTTTAGGCTTTTGATTTTATTATTTTTTTTTCAGTTATCCAAAGCCTCCTTTATTTATTTCATGTTATTTATAATAAGTTGCATAAAAATGAAAAGTTGAGTGGAAGGAAAAACTGTTGACTGCAGTTCTGTTTCATAAATTCTTTAGTATTTGTATTTTTTCCCAATTTTTCTGGGGAAAATTAATTATTAATCAATTATTTGGAATTGGAAATTAACCAAAACAAAAAATCATAAAGAGTTTATTATTCATATATTTTATGATATATTTATGTAATTTTGTCCCTTTTGACCTTCCATACTCCTCAGGTTTCAGATAACTATGATTGTGAAATACCTCACGACCCTCTCGGGGTCCCTGCCCCCCATGTTGGGAAGCCCTGATTTGAACATTTCCCTCTAACCATACAGCAGCGCTGAAACATCAGATCAGGTCGAATTAATCAATTTTTGTGGACTCGACCCACCTCTGTGATGAGTAAACTCAAAGTAAATCATACTCTACGTGTGTTTGTGTGCATGTGTGTGTGTGTGTGTGCGTGTGTGTGTGCGTGTGTGTGTGTGTGTGTGTGTGTGTGTGTGTGTGTGTGAGACACAGGCTGCTGTGTTTTGTTCTGGCAGACTGTAATTGATAACGACTCCATTGTCTCGGGCAACACAGTCGTCTGAGAGGCGTAAATGAAGCAGGACAGGCGCGTTGGCCGGGAGATGAGGTGATTATCGCTCATGGATTAGTCCTGCCTGCCTGGGTGAGGTGGAGCAGCGCCGTCAGGCTGCCTGCTGCGCTGCGTGTGTCTGATGAGTCTTACATGCAGCAACACATAGATGAACCCGGTGACCCCAGCTTGCTGAGGATTTCCAAGCAGGTGTTTGTCACTCAGGTGCTGCAGCTGCTGCCGTTTCGCTCTGCGGCGTTTCCACGTGTTCATTGTTTGTCATCATTTTCAAAGTCATGAGCTTCCACTCTATAAATAAAAAAATAGTGTTAACTGACTTCCTGGATGCACATTTTGAACAGAAAAAATCTGAAAAGTGTGGCATGCATTTTGATTTAAAGGGTAAGTATGATGTAAAATTGACTATTTTTAGTTATGATGTTTTTCCCTAATAAAAAACAAACCTGGAGTGTTGCTTTGATTCTTCCATGCATGTTTGAGAAATCCTTGAATCTCCATGGCAACCATTCAGCTGTGCAAAACGCCTGGATGGACGTAGCCCCGCCTTCAATGACGAATCTCCTCCTCTGAGCTGCAGTCTCCAAACTTCAGAGCTGAAGGGTTGTTGGATTCATCAGACCAGAGAATATTTGTCCTCTTCAATAAAGGAAGGAATTAATGATTGATTTTCCCACCTGAGCTGTTAATCTCTGCAGCTTCTCCAGAGTTATCATGGGTTTCTTGCATACTCCTAGGATAAATGATAATCATAATTTTAGAACAGTAAAACAGTTATGGTTTCTATATTAAGTTAAAATTTTTTGAAAACCTATATAAAATAAATTCAAATCTACCTGAATCTGTTGTGAATTTTTATTAATAATTTGCAGGGTTTAAAATTGTAAAGTTGTAATCATAACCTTTAGTTCAGCTAACATGAAAGCACAACATCAGCATTTAACAGGAGCTAATGCTAAAGCGCTACACTAAGGCAGTATTTAGTAAAAGTTAGTTTTAAACAAATTCAATTCAAACATATTTTATTGAAATGTTGTTGTAGCTCATTAATTCAGATATATAGTGATGTCTGTTGGCAGGAAAGATCTCTTGTAGCAGTCTGTATTACAGTGAACTTGAAAAAGCCTCTGACTGAAGATGCTCTGCCTTCCCAGTGCCTTATTTCAGTGTCATAAAATAAGAATATTGAGTGGGAGCTAAAGCTAAATTACTGACATGGTATTTAGCAAAAACTAATTTCAAAGTGTGACATCAATACGGTGTTTAGCAGAAGCTAATGCTAAAGACAGAAGAACATCCTATTCCATTCAGGCTGATGTATCTATTTTCATAACAGATACAGGAAAATTAGCCTCTCCTCTGAAAATGTTCATATCTACATTCAGAACAATAATTGACGATATTAAAAGCAACTAAAACGATTCAAGTGATGCATATTTTGTTAGCAGAGGATGCTAATGTCCATGTAGCAGGAGAACATGCTGGGTTGCAGCCGTCCTGTTGCATTTCCCATCTGCTTTACTGCTGTGCAACAGAAGCTGAGAAAGCATCAGTTTCGAAACAAATCTTTAGAAACGTGGCGTCGGCTGGAGGCGGCAGACGGAGGGGGGAGGCTGACGCAGGTTGGATGGAGTTCAGCAGAATCTCTTTAGGTGGAAGAAACCAGGCTGTTGCTGCTCTGGGTCACAGACAAGCTGCTGCTTAAAGAAAATATCCACCGGTGTTTTGTTCCTTCACCGATAATAAAATCCTCTCCTGGTTCCCCGCCAGTCCAGGTTCCTCCATATGGAGACAACAAGATTCACTGGATTCTGCCGAAACTCTGAGAAATCACTTTACAACTTTTCATCTGTCCTTATGATCAGGATGTGCTGCTTCACCCCTGCTAGCTTCATAAAAAGCAACATAGCTAAATATTTAGCTTGTTAAATATTTACTATTTACTAAGCTAGCTGGATCAGTTTGTAAACTAAATAATTTGGTCAGATCTAAATATTTACCTTGCTAACTTAATTAGCTACTAACTGAACCAAGTTTGTAGCTAAATATTAAGCTTGATGCTAAATGTTTAGCAATAAAACTAAATATTTAGTTTACGCTAAACAAAAATATTTAATTTAGTTTATCTATTTTACTATTTACTAGAGCTAGCAAGTTTAGTTTTCAGACTATATAATTAGTTCAGATTTAAATATTGAGTTTCTGACTTGGTACTTAGCTACTAACTTAACTGTTTGGATCAAAATATTTAGCTCCAAACTATAGATTTAGTTAGCTTATTTACGATTTAGTAAAATAGCAAGTTTAGTTTGTATGGTAAATATTTAGTTCTGAACTAAATGTTTGGCCTGCTAACTTAAGATTTAGCTGTTAGCATCTAGTTTGCAGATAAATATTGAGTGCAAAGCTAAATGTTTCACTCTAAACTAAATATTCATTTTTCTATTTCACTATTAGTCTAATTTATAAAGATTTAGTTCAGAGTAAAAATGTTGTTTGCTAACTATTTAATTTGCTAACTGCATGTGATTTTTGATTGGCTTTGACTTCTGACTCCCTGATGTTGAAATCCACAAAAAAGTTTATATTTTATTGTTTTTAGTGATGTGAAGATATTTTTTCATGAACTACTTGAAAGGAAGAGAAAACAGTATGAAGTTTTTGACACATTTTTTAAGTGTTTTACATGAGAAACTGCATTCATGGCGTTAAACATTTTGTGTGTTTCTTAAAGAAAAGAGACTTATTTATTAAATCTGGCATTTTTAGGGATAGAAAACATATCCCTATATGAGTGGAGGACTGAAACTAATGATGCAATTTATTTTTTAAAAATAGAGAAAACGTCAAGAAAGAAGACAACAACTTTTGTAAAACTGCATTTCAGGGATTCAAAAAACAAAAAACGTAAAATTTTTCATGCAAGGTGAGGATTGTAGTTAGTCATGACATTCATAAAATTAAAATAAATATATATGTAGAAGAAAATAAGTTCTTTTAAAAAGTTTTTTTTTTTTTAATGGATTCCCAAGAAATGTTCAGTTTAAGAAGCCTTTCCTACTTTGACCACAGTGGGGCGCTGTGCGTCAGAAGCCATCACTTTAACATGAGTTTTTATGCAGAAATCCAAATAAAATCAAGTTTAAATCACCATAAAAGTAAATAGATCTTTTATGATGCATCTGGAGCGGAGTTGTTTTTATCCACTCAGGGTTTTATTGAGTTTTGACCAAACGGATCGAACCGCCAGATGAAGGTGAATCATAACGAAGCGATGCGGTGGCAGGAAGCGGCCGGGATCAGTGAGCAGGTCTGGGAATGCTGCAGGCAGAGCAGCATGTTGCTTTAGTAAGTCAAGCTGCTGCCATTCAAACATCCCAAAGCCAATGAGGAGCAGCGCAGCCCGAAGCTCCACGCTGTAAGAAATGTCTGCAACAAACAGCAGAGGAATCACAGCCAGGCTGTCTGAGGCGAAGGGGCGGACCGAGCAGAACGGCGCCCTGGGCAACCACCCCAATCTCAAACTATGATTTAATCAATAACCCAGTTCAGTTATTTAAACTAGAGATTATAGTTTATTGATAACAGGAATAATTTCTATCTGATTTAATGTGAGAAAATGTTTTTTTGTGTGTGTCTGGTTATATTTTTATTTTCATTCTGGTGTTCCAGCGGTTGATTTTTATGGAGTACCAACAGGGACATAATTAAATAAATAGATAATTAAACAAATGCTTTGATAATTTATTTATTAGAAAATTAATTGACTAAATGTTATTTAAACATTAAAAAGCAAACTTTTAATCGCTGATGAAGGTAACTGATTTAATTTATATTTAATTATTTCATTGTTTGTGGTCCTGTAACATTAACGATTTTATCAATCAAATTAGCCCATCAAAGACAAGAGTGGGGGAAACGCTGATCTGTTACTCCACCAGTTTAATCTGACTCTTTAAAAAAAAAAAACATGGCCGCTGTTGTAGTGGAGGATGTTCATGGGTGATTTGATTTGTGAAATAATTAAACACAATGTTTGTTTGTGTTTAATTATCTGCATTGGCTGTTGCAAGCTTATCACGGTAATCATGGTACATCTAATCAATGATCTATTTATTTGTTTAATTTTATTCCCTTTGGCCCTCCATAGGAATCAACCACTGGGACAAAACATAAACATAAACAAACATGGGAACATAAAAATAACCAGACACAGACACACAATGTTATTCAATGTAGCTTCTGATTTGAGCTAATGTAACAACAAAGTTTGCATTTTAATGATTTTATGAGATATGTAATAAATTCACTGTCTATTAAAAATGTATTTATTTAATGATACATCAAATGAAGCATTTAGTGCTGCTACAAGTATTTCAATGAATTCATAATATATTGAATAATTACCTGACAAACATCTACTTATTTAATGATACATTTAATGGACATATTTATATAATTTTGTCCCTTCTGACCTTCCATATGTTCCTTTAATGTTTGTCCAGATTTCAGCAGGAAAACTGCTGTTATATATGTTTTACATATTTGTTGATATATGCAATAAATTCTATCAAATATTTACATATTTTTTGAAAGTTTAATTTATTTAATTTAGTCTTTTCTGACCTTTCATAGTTTCCTTCAATTTTTGTCCTGATGTCAGCAGGAAAGTTGCTGATATATTTGTTTTAAAGATTTGATGATATATGTAGTAAATGAAAACATTTATTTAATGATACTAATTTAATGCATCTGTTTATATAATTTTGTCCTTTCTGACCTTCCATATACCCCTTCGACATTTTTCCAGATTTCTGCAGAAAGCTGCTGCTGTAGAGGAATCAGATGGACGGATTTGTTCTCAGTTGCAGTGGAAAATGAGGCTGAAGACCCAACAGGAGAACATTTCTTCCAGCGTGCGGCGGCTGGTGCGGTAGGAGGGAGTCTGGGGGAGAGAGAGGGAGCGAGGGAGTGAGGAGGGGGTTGGTCCGGGAGAGAGCATGGCAGCGGCAGCCACAGCGCTGCTGACTTGGTTCTCCTTCACTTAGACCCGAAAGCACCGTGTCCTGTGCGCTCCTGGCGCAGACCCCGTGCGTCATTCTGTTGTTTTCTTTCCGCCTCGCTTCACTCTTTTTGCGTCAAGAAGCCGGGACCAGGAGCGGCTGAGAGTTCAGCCCGGATCCGGAGAAAGCCGACCCTCCTCGGCCGCCCTGAACCCTCCGGACCGGAGCAGCGGCGCTCCATGTGCGCCTCGTCGGTCCGACAACTGAACCCGGAGTTACGCCGAACGGAACCGACCCGAGATCCGCTGATTTAACAGAAAGCAAGCAGATACACGCAGAGGGAGGCTAAGTTAACGCTCCGCAGCAGAACCAGAACCAGAACCAGAACCGGACCTCAGCCCAGCGCAGACATGCCGCAGGTGGAAATGATCCTGTTCCTCATCCTCATTATTGGGATGTGCGTGTTCGGCCAGGACCCGGCGTCCAAGGTGGTGTCGGACCGCTACGCTGTCTTCTGGAACCGGACCAACCCAAAGTAAGTGTCCCGAACCGAACCGGGAGTCCCCGGCGCGGCGCTCAACTTTCACTAAAGGGCCATTTCACCGCGTTTTAAGGGACTCTGCAGGAACTTTGATCCGCTCCAGTTCGGGATCTGGATCCGTTTGACCGACCGAACCGGGACCGGATCATTCTGCACTGATTACAGATTCTGAAAAACACATTTTACATTTTATGGAACCTTTATTTTAGTTGTGAAAACACTAAACATTTAGCATTTTCAGCGCTGCTCATGCATTGATTTTCAAACCTGGACTGAATTGTTTCCATTTTTCTTTTAAAAAACTGATTTATTATTTTATTTCCAAGGAGAAATCACCAAAAAATGACACAATTTAATGGTTTAGATTGAGAATAGCTTAAGAAACAAAATACTGGTCAAACACATAAGAAGTGTAATTCAGTACCTTTAGTACCTAATTAGAGACAAACTCTTTACAACACATACAGAAATTGAGGAAAGTTTCGTTTTTATTGCATTAAAACCACTTTGGATTGAAGCAATTGTCAAAATTGGACCAATTTATTCTGCACTCAAGTCAGGTTCTATAAAATCCAGTTTACGATCCGTGAAAAAGTGTTTCCAATGCTTTCAGACGCGAAGCATTAAACTCATTTCTGCAGAGACGCACCGATCAGATTTCCAGCAGGACCGATTTTTACACGACTTTAACTCAGAAAACAAAGAAATGAGCTGAAGTTTCTCTGATTGAGGCAGGAATCAGATGGAAAAAGAAGAATGCAAAACATTTAGTATAATTTTTTAATCAAACATGACTTCAGTAGGTTGTTGTGTTTATGTACAGAAAATGATGATATCTTTTAATTTAAATTAATTTACTGAGTGTTTTTAATCTCCGTCTGATTGGTTCATCTCCACTTTGCAGTAAATTTATCCAAATTTCATCGTTAATGTTGCATAAATAGAGAAAGAAACAAAACTTCAAGGTTTTTCAGATTCTTACCGATAAAATGAAACTTTTCCAGATCAGAAACTCTTTAGGAAACATTTGTAGGCGTCGTAGAATCATTTAGATTTTCAATTTGGACCCTAAAACGCGTAAAAATATCATAAACTAAAACCTGTAATATGACTCCACCATTAAAGTTTTAAGATTTAATCTCAATATGAAGTTTAATAATGCAAAATAATTATTGAAATCCAACATTTTGTGGATTTTATTTTGTTATCTCTAATTTGTGTGAAACAATTCAAAGCAGGTTTGACTGAATATCGGCTGGTTCTAGATTTTAATTCATATATATTTTCCTTTTTTGTCATAAAATAAACACTTAAAACGGAGCATAAATGTTTTTTAATATGGAATAAATAAGTCCAGGTTCGACCAGTTTAAGTGTTTATATTCAGTTCAGATCATGTTGGATCCAATCTGAGGCGGTTCTGCTGCAAAACGTTCATATTATTTTCATTTTACTCCTAAAATAAACGTTTCACGTCATAAATGTGTTTTTTATTGAATCTGTAATCAGTCTGACCAGTCTGAGTGTTTCCCTGGAAAGCAGAGCGTTGTCCAGTGACATGTTTGTGTTGATGGCCGGAGCCTCGATCCGCCGTCAGGATGTGGCCTTAGTGGATCTGAGCTTCCACAGCCGTGGATTTTTCCATGCTGCAGTTTTTAAAGCTGCTGTTTGGAGGCTTTATGAGTCTGATTATCAGTTGCTTCAAAGTTTCTGCTTTGCTTTGAGACTTTTATGTGTTTGTTGACTGAAAGGCTTAAGACTGCGCGAGAGTGACATTTCTGGTGCTGTGAGCTGCAGGCCGCCTCCCCTCATGAGTCAGTGCCACATGTTTGGCGTTTCACCAAAAACACAGTGACTGTGGGAGCAAGTGTGTGTGTGTGTGTGTGTGTGTGTGTATGTGTGTTTCTGCAGACGTTTGGGGTTAAATCAGCATTTTTTTCCTCCAGGATAACAAACGTGTTTGTTGGCCCTCAATAAAAAGCTGTTTGTGTTTCTGTTGCCGCTTTTTCATTACAAATGTGTGTAAAACTTTCTCGACATTTCACTAATGTGGAAAAAACAACATTTTGATGTTTCTCCATTAAAGAAGAGACACAGCGTGAATGTTCCCGCGATGTCATAAAAAAAACGTGCCATCATCCTCCCATCACTTCCTGTCATCGGCTTTGTCGTTTCTGGCAGTGGTAACATCTGGTTGTTGATCATGACTCATGATGTGAAAAAATGTATCCATTGCAGTTTTACGAAATAAACCAATTTCTATTAAGCCAAGCAAAACATATTACTAATGTCAAAAACTTTTGATCAAAAATATATTTGGTGTATTGTCATCAAGCTAAGTTTTTTTGTTTTTTTGTTTTTGCACAATTTTAAGATAAATGGAAACTCCAAGGCCACATGCTAATCAGGGTGATAAAGTGAAAATTAGAAAACTGAAAATTATGACCAGCATCATTTTGTCCTTGTCTGTGTTTAAAAAAAGAAAAGTCATGGAAATCATTTTAGTCTGTTTTGCCGTTTCCTGGCCGTCGTCTTCCTACAGTTTTCTTCGATTCTCATCTCCCTTCGGTGCTCAGTCTGGACTTTCTCCCATTCCCTTTGGTAGAATTTCAACCGGGCCAACAGGAACAGAAGGACAAGTTGTGAATGATGATGTTGATTTTTGGCACTGTTTTAGGATTGCATTTTGCCGGTACTTTTAGCAGCGGTGGTGGAGGAAGTGAAGGAAGCCGTTCAGTCCATGTCGGCCACTTTCACAGCCATCTTGTTCGACTCGGCACTTCTGGGTTTGCAGGGGAGGATGGTTGTTTACAGCACAGGAAATTTCTGGTGCATTGAACTGGTGCATTGAACTGGTGCATTGAACTGGTGCACTGCACATGTTGCAGCCAAAAATCCTGGAAAAAATTGTGTCTTGATGGCCGAGAGATCAGATCCTTAGATGAATGAAATGGCATAAAACAAGAGGCTTGTTTTTACCAGGCTTAATAAATTCTGTTCTTAGTTCAGGTAAAATTTAGCCCCAACTGTTTAATTTAGCATAAACATTAAAATAAATTTGATATTAAAGATACAAACTAATGTTTACTTTAAACCCAGTAAAGGCTGTTTTCAGCTTTAAATGTAGTCGTTTAAATCAATGTTGACTTTTCCCTTAACGTAACTGATATAACATTATGGAATGTTTGTTTTAGCACTTACTGTGCTCCGTATTACTGTTTTCAGCAATAAAACCAGCCGACCAAACGTGCTGGAACTCCGCTGGGGTTGCTAGGTAACTCCGCTGGGGTTGCTAGGTAATGGGCTGAACTCTGCTGGGGTTGCTAGGTAACGGGCTGAACTCCGCTGGAGTTGCTAGGTAACGGTGGCTGCTGATTTGTGACATTGCATTCAAGAGGTTTTTGAAACGACTCATTTTCCAGAAATTAATAAACACCTGGGTGATTTTTTTTTTGTTTGTTTTATTTTATTTTTTATTTATTTTTTTGTTTTTTTGTTGAGTCGTTTTTAGAAGCACAAAATCGTGAATTTTATTTCTTCTTTAAAATCCATTAAAGTGGCAGTAAAAATAACTGAAGAACCGGTCCAGAGGAATCAAAGCGTCACTATAACTCTGTAAAGTATTTATTCTGGCCTATCACATGGTTTTATTTTCATCCATTTATTGTGATGGAGGTGAACTGTTAAATTTACCATGAGACTGACTTCAGGTCCTTCGTTTCTCTACTTTTTCCTGGCGTTGAAACTCTTCCCAGCGTCCAAGTCTTGTTTCTGGGTTGCCATGCGCTGCCGTCCAAACCCCCTCGCCCCCCTCGGGCCCTGTGGGAGCTCCGCATGCCGGGGTCACACACTCGGCTGTAACCAGGCGCGGCGCGGGTTAAGCGGCGCAGAGGGGGCCGTTGTCAGGGTCAGAAACGGGGCGTCCGCGGGGCCCCGGCACGGCGCCCCGCCTGGGCTTTGTCCCCTCAGAATGGAGGGCGAATAAATGAGTAACTCCAAATGACTTTTTCCCTTTTCTCATTCATGACTTTGAAGCTGTATGATGTAAACGAGGGCCATGCTGGAGGCACGGAGGGCCCCTCTGACCGGCGCTGCGGTGCCCGCTGCTTAATGCAGCTCCAGTCGGTGTAGCAACCTGCTGCTTCCCCCCAAACCCCGAACTCTTCTTCTCCTGATTCTTGTTTTCCTTCTTCTCTGTGGCGGAGGAGAACCGGCAGTCCACACTCAGCCATTCATGAAATCCCCCAACAGGAACTCTGGAATTGAAATGGGAACTGAGTCGTGAAAAATGGAAATGCGTTGACATTTTCATGCCTTCCTCGCCCCTCCCCACCCTATTGTTTTAAAGAAGCTGAAAGGATTCCTTCTGTAATTTAGATAAACATGAGCTCTCGTTTGTAAAGCTTTGATCACAGAGAGAAAACGTTCCCGCGCTGATGGGAAGGATCTGAAGCTGAAATCTTCAGCATTTCAGTTTCTGGTCAGAGTTACTTCATTCAGGGTGTTTTAACTTGGTAGATTTACTTTGACTGGGGGCCAAAATTGCTAAATTTGTTACATTTTCACTCTGCACTGTGTCAAACCAACCAACTCTGTTCCCCTCCTTGCCTGTGGGGGCGCTGCACCAAGAACTACTGAAGGAAACGACACAAAATCCTCTGAAGACACTGAGCGCAACTTTCATCTTCATGAAATATAAACAAAACTGAAGTGAGATTGCAGGATTTCTCTTTTGTGTTTGGTAAAAATCCATGAGCCATTTCTACTGGTAGCGCTAAGCTAACATGTTTGTGTTGGTTGTATTTACCCAGAATGCTCTGCGCTGTAGTCCACTTCCTGCTTTTGGAGCGGTCTCTGGTCCGCTTGGCGTTCAAGCTGAACCAGAGTTCACTTTTTTTGGACTTTCTAAAGTTCGATTAAAGCAGAATAAACAGATCTGATGTAAACTAGAGGCATGTTTTTATCGTATCGTGTTTTTATCGTATCGTTTATCATTTATTGTGATAATTTTATTTATCAAATTCCACTTATTGTCTAAATCCTCCCAGAACAGGCAGTTCTGGGAGGAACTGTTGGTATTTTTAGTTTTTTCTCTTTTCTCCTCTGTTGTTCATTGAGAGCATCAATAAGTCTGGAGATATGATGAAATGCAGTTCCTGTGAGCAGATTGGACACAAATCACTTTTTATGTGACTGGTGTCCCAAAGAATCGTATTACAAATGGATTTATTTCCAAAGCAGCGTTTGTGTTGGTGCATGCAGTCACATTCACAGTCACATAAAAAAGAAGTAATAAATAATTCCTATCATCACTTTTATCACTGTAACAGTAAAACTTTCAGTCCAAACCCTCAAACACGAGTGTTGAGTTTCTGCTGAGCATAAACTTAGAAATAGTTGGAAAATCAGTTTCATCTGAGTCCATTTTGTTGTTTAAATAAACTTTAATCTTTAGTTAAGCAGCTTTTTGTTTCTAAATTCAAACTTCAATGTTTCTTTGATGTTAAGTTAAATCCTCCTCATGTTCTTCACGTCTCTAAAAACGTATCATTGCTAAAGATTAGTGGTTTAAAAGATGTTTTATAACCAAACTGGTTACAGTTCATGGATACCAGTAAACTAACAACCACAATATTTATATATAAAAACAGATAACGATGGGAACCAGAGATCGCTGTGGCTCAACTTTCTGCTGCTTGTTTTAGTTTTCCACATCACTGAGTCGACGGGCTGCATGTTCATCTGGATTTAAAATATAAGATCATAAGAACCAGATTCCTTTTTTACTTGGACAGAAGTTAGAGAATAAAACTGATTCTGATTATTGGTGCACCGACCCATCTTTTAAAAAGCCCAACTTACCGATTCTGATTTCAGCCGATACCATGTTTTTGTCTGAAATGTTGCTCCATATGTCAAGAAAGTTACTGAATTGGCAGCAATGGGGCGACTATTAACTGTAAATGTGCAGACATGAGCTGGTCGGCCGGTTTGTCAAACTTTTCTCACAGGAGAAAAGAAAAGCACAGTGGTTGACTTTTAGACTTTTGTTGAGGTTGATAACATCAGTAGATAAGATCAGCTTCACATGTAGAAACATCACCGATCTCCTAAAATTAAGGAAATCGGCAGCGATAAATCGGTGCAGCCGTAACTCTGATGTTAGTTACTGTTGGTGTTTATAATCCGTCTGGTATTGATGCATCCAGTTGGTTTCTATAAATCCATCGAGTTCTCATAAGTCCTGTTGGTGTTTAAGGATCTTATTGTTGTTTAATAAAGTCAGAAGTTTATTTTCTGCACATTTAGAAAGAAGTTTGACTGAATCCTGTTTTCTCTGGATTAACTGCCTGGTATCTGGATTAAGTTTGACTGCATGTGTTCAGTTTCTATAAAGTCTTGGTGAAGTTTGCTTTGCCCTGGAATGATTTGGATGGACCAGAATAAACCAACTGCAGTGAAGTCGGGATCAGGACCGAGCTTTGTGGAGCGTGTTGTAGATTATTACTAACAGTCGTGGGACAAATTACAAATCCCACTCTCAATGGGCTCAACTGGAAAGTGGCACCAGAAGGAAATTACCCCCAGAACCAGGAAAAACACAAAGTGCAGCTTTTTCCAGGCGGAAAGTGAAATGAGGCCCATATGTTCGCCGTCAGCCGCCTTGGAACCCAAACGGTGGAGTAAAGTGTAAGAGTCGGGTATTTACTGCTGCTCTGACAGGCAGCCATTAGTGAATTCCCCGCTCAGCGGCTCTTTAGCTGCTTCATTAGAGCCCACCCGGGTCCATATGGTCCGCTTGCAGCCGCTGCCTGTTGCCCAAGGTGTTTATTTGTTGCTGATAGGCGGATCAGCGGAGAATCGGAGTCGGAGTTCCTTCCCTAATCTCGCTGGCTGTTTGTGTCTCCGAAGCCATGGAAACTGATACCGGCTCCGTCATGAAAGAGGCTCGCTGGGTGGGACGGCGACCCGGACAGCTGGGGGGAGAGAGAGAGCGCAGCGTCACCCCAGGGGTCTCCTTTAATCCCTGATAATTCCCAACCAGAGCTGCAGCAGCAGATGCAACATATTCCTCCTCAAGACAATTAAGGAATCTGCTCAGGTTGCCGTTTGCTTTACGTTTTGTCAATCGATCTAAGAAATAATCTGATTAATCACTGCGGCTAACTTTGTTAGCTTGAAATATAGATTTACACGCAGTTCTTCTTTCTGCCAAGCAGTTAAAATGGAAATTATCTGATTTAGTTGCAGCAGAAAACAACAGCAACTAAAGGAAAATTACTCCTATTCATACTGTAAAATTATACTCAATAAGAGCAAAAAGTATTTGATAAAAAGTCAAATCAAGTACTGAGAAACTGGTCAAATTATTTAATATTTAAAAATTACGTCATCAGACGGAACTAAATATAAAGTTACGTGGAAATTTTGGTATTTGAATGACCAAAATGACAATAATTCATATAAGTACCGTATTTTCCGCACTATAAGGCGCACCTTCAATGAACGGCCTATTTTAAAACTTTTTGCATAGAATAGACGCTACACTTTGGGA